ATATTGTCCATGGCGGCGGCCGCGTCCTCTCTCTCTCTAGGAAAGTGGCGAACCTGAACGAGTGGTGCTTCTGCGTGGCCTGATCCAGTGGTGTCTTCACATCCTTAATTTTCTCTTTGATAGTAGCTTTGGCGGCGGTGACCGAACACGGCTTTCCCTTTTTTCTCCTGTTTCTGCCTCAGAGGTTATTTTATATACATGATTTGCGGTGGACCTAGAGCTTCCGATCGTAACTGGAGGTAGAAGAATGGCGGGGTTTTTTAAAAAATATTGTGGCTAGAGGTAGAGTTTAACTGCTACCAGGTTAATCCGAGTGATAGGAAGTCATATTTCTCTATTTGATTTGGGGCTATTTCCTTATTTCACCTCCGATCTGAAACCCAAGCTGAATAATGAACCTTCTTGACCTTATCAACTCTCTTTCCCAGATCCACCTTTTTCCCCCTGTTCTTTATGTGGATCTACATCGTGGAGTCAAAAGTAATCCATCCCCATCCATATTTTCCAAAGCCCGTCTCCAACTTTCTCAGAATCTTAGATAGACTTTTTCCATGTGTTTCCGTCATGGTTAACCGTAATCTGGTTCCCACAGACGGCGCCAATGATGATGTCAAAAATTGTACCTGTTGATTTCTCGAGATTGAGGACTGGGATCGAGCACAAACGGAGCCTTCCAGTACCTGAAACAAAGGCAACGAGGTGTGTGCTCGTCGCCCTTCCGATGCTTAAGTCAGAGAGGGAAATTGTGTAAAAGTATGTGCTGTAATTGTATTGTAAAGACATACCCGAATAATGGAGCTGAGTCCTGTATTTATAGATGTCAGTGGTTGAGTTGTATCAGGATTCAACCACCTGTAATCTTTATCTTGTACAGTGATTGAGTTATATCACAATTACCACTTTAGGTTTGGCATGAATTGTAACACGTTTAGTATTTAGATAATGATAAACAGTTGAGTCATAGGAGCACTAAAACTCGCAAGAGACTCGAGAAGAGGACAATATTTTGGCATGTGGACCCGACCTTAGTAGGACCCGATTATTAGGTCCGACTTATGAGAGACCCGACCACATTTTAAACGATATTTGGAGATGAGAGTGGTCGAGGTATTTACCTCGGGCCATGCTTGAAAGTTCGGGGTCGGGCTATAATTTTCATACACATCAAAAGGAAATGTTGTATGTGCCAAATTATTTACCAAATGGATGACCCGCCACTTGTCAATTCGATAAAAAATTAGGTAAGACATTTGGTACAAATACATTAATTCAAAAATAAGCGTGTACTTTCGCCTGCTTTGTGTGCCAGTAGAAGCTACTTGTCAACAAAAAATTTGGATGACTAATTTGGACTTCTCTTGGGCCGGGAGTTTATTATATTGGGCCAATTTGATTCCTTTGGTCTAAAATGCTCCAACAGTTTATCATATTGAATGGGCCTATTTATAGTTCATGTGAGGTTGCAGTTTATCATATTGAATGGGTCTAAAATGCTCCAACAGTTTATCATATTGAATGGACATGTCTAAAATGCTCCAACATTTGGTACTATGATTCTACTAGGCCTATTTACAGTTCATGTGCTCTTCTAATTCAAAATTTACTTTAAGTACAATATTTTATCAACAACATCAACCATTTTCGCCAATATATGGCTGGAATTGGAAGAGCCTCATTTCTTGCTTTGGGGCTGGAATTGGAAGAGCCTCATTTCTTGCTTTGGGGCATATTATCAACTCGAAAAGCACCATGGACAGACCTTGCTTTTCAGGGAATTTCTACACTTTTCTGTTTGATCTTGATGAAAGCCGTTGGCTCGCTATTGTAATTATTAGAGCATCAACTCTCATTCCCTTTGCAAGTTGTCAATGCATCTAGCTAAGGGTCCAATTAGCAACTTTGCCAATTGGTTTCTTTGGATGTTCAAGCAATTCTCAATGTTGTCAAATAATTCTTCTTCAAATAATTTCAAGGGGATGATGATGGAGCTTATTTTAATGGCTGGAAATGAGTTATCTTTACCCCTACATATCTTAGAAATGGCCATTTGCACACACCATGTATTTGGCAAAAATTTGTTAGCTTGATCTCTCTCATTCAAAGGCATTTTTTGACTATCATCTCTATTAGCCTATGCCGAGTATTGTGGGTCATCACCTCAACCGCTGTGCTCCCTCCTAAACTTTACAATGTTTTAACCATCTCCCAGCTCGTCGTCCCCTGTGGGTCAGCGCAATGGTAGCAGATGAGCTCCTCACTCAACTTTACAAAGTTTAGATGCACCTGACACGGAGTCCCCTGTATGTCATTGCCTCAGTCATTGTGTTCTCTTCTAAGCTTTACAAAGTTTTAGCAATCTCCCAACGCGTCGTCCCCTGTGGGTCAGTGTACCGATGACAGATGAGCTCCTCACTCGGCTTTAGAAAACTTAGACGCACCTGACGCAGAGTCCCCTGTGGGTCATCGCCTCGATGGCTGCGTTCCCTCCTAAACATTACAAAGTTTTAGCCATCTCCCAACGTGTCGTCCCCTGTGGGTTAGCGCACCGGTGGCAGATGAGCTCTTTCCTCAAATAGCATCGAAGCTTCAGTGCCTCAGTCGAAGATGTGTCCCGATCTTCAGCTTCACAAGTTTCAGCATCTCCCACTCGTCGTCTTATGAGTCAGCACTTCGGTAGAGACAGTTGAACCTACAACTGCAGCAACAACCATACACTTAACTAATCTTAAAAAGTCAACGGCTGATATATATCAGTATGCTTCAGTATTAGTATAACTACTTATATTCAGTTCAGAGCATCGCCTCTGCTACTCCATCCAGAGCATCGCCTCTGCTACTACAATCATAGCATTGCCTCTGCATCCAACGCATCGCCCCTGTCACCTATGCTACTTACATTCAGAGCATCGTCTATACATCAACTTTATCACAGTAGCTTACATTTCAAGTCCGACCAGCATATAAATAATATGACTCAGACTTGGGGGACTACATATTACTGCTAGCATACGCATCACATTATTGCTTCCAAGCATGAATGCCATATCACTACTAACATACGCATCACATTATTGCTTCCAAGCATGAATGTCATATCACTGCTAGCATGTCATATATTATTTTCATCATAGCCAGTACATATGTCGTGTTATCATCATTTTCATTTTATTGTCAACATCATGTTACTTGCTTCACTATAACATTACTGATACACTGAGCTGTGCGAGCACATGATTTACTATAATGCATGACAGACCCTCTGCACATATCTTGGAGAAATATGATATGTCACACCCTATAGTTATGAGCATTTGAAGGGGCAAATGGACCCCAAATTTATTTGGTATATGTGCCATGGATATATTTTATTGTATTACAGGATTGGTTTAGTCCATATTACAGAAGAGATGTTATCGAAATTTTAAAAAAATATATGCAGTATATCTTTCGAGGCAATTCGTGAGTCCTCACTTATTCTGACTCACACACATTTTCTGAGGTAGTTCGTAAGTCCTCACTTATTGGAGCGACTCATATTTCTCAAGGCAATTCGTAAGTCCACGCCTATTTAAGATCGATGCATATTTTCGAGGCAGTTCGTAAGTCCCGCTTATTGGAGCCACCCATCTTTCTGAGGCAATTTGTAAGACTTCGCATACTTAATAGTTTATATTTCAAGTCCGACCCACATATAAATAATACGACGCGAACTTGGGGGACTACTATTACACCTATAAATTACCACTTCATATTGGGTCATCTTATTGGACTCGGATGAGGCCCATCAAAATTGGGCCCCAAAGCCGAGGCTCTGACGAGGCCAGTCGAGGCGCCACCAAGGCCCTAAGGAGTTCAGCCAAAGCGCTAGCCGAAGTGCCTATTATTAAGTTCATATGATCACCTCCTTATTGGGCTTGGACTTCGGCCCACCAACTCGTTTGACCAATTTCACTTCCATTTCTCTATATATATGGATTCACTCACACAACTAAGGTATGTTCTACACTCTCTAGCCAAATTCTCATCTCCATACTATTGCACTCTATATATCTATTTCCGTCCGGCCATTAACTTGACCATCGGAGTGCAAATGATCGTTGAATCTTTTTCTCGTTTGGGGGCTTTTGCCTCTTGACAGGGTGTTACTTACTCAGGTTTCGAGGGGACGAGATTAGGGAACCTATTGGAACTATTTTTGGAGGTCAACAATATGTTTATTGATCAATGATTCATATGTGAAAATCATAGAATTTTAAAATTTTGGTATTATGATTAATTGCTTACAAATCATACTAATTTAACGACTATACATAAATGGGAAAATTCTAGTCAATCCTTATATTTCTATAAAAATATTAAAATTAATAAATAAAAAAAGGTCAAAAAAATGAATAATCTTCTACTTCATAAGCCACTGTTGTCGCCTTCTCCCCACCCCATTTATTCCCCTTGTTTCACGAGAAACAAGGAACTGGCTCTCGCTAAAATGAGATTAAGGAATGGGTTCTCTCTAGTTTTTGTGGAAATTTAGAGAATATAAAGATTATTGAGAATTCTGCCACTTACATGAACAAAATTTTAAATACATGATTTAGTGAACGAAATGTGGATTTTTTTTTATTTTTTTTTTATATTGAGATTTGAGAAGGACCAATATGCACCTAGATTGAAGGTTTGAAGAATTTAAAATGAAAATAAATTTATTGGGGACTTGATTGATATTTTAGTGAATATATGGGATCCCAAGTGCTATCTTATAGGGACTCTAGTTGCAAATCCGCTTGTCTACGTTTTCACGTTTTTGAAACTTGAATTTTCTTTGAGTATGCTTTTCATTGACAATATTTTTTTATAGAAAATTTATTTTTATCCAAGTTTCTGTTTTGAGATATTAGACTGCTTTTTTATTATAAAAAATATTTTTCATGTAACAATATTTCAGGAGAAGTTAAATTTTATTTGATGGGTAATTCAAACTTTCCAAAATTCTAATTTATCAGCTCTTCTATTTGCTCACTACGTTCTCTCTCTCATCTCTACCCATATATAAAATCATTACCATCTCTCGTTAACTCACACAACGGAACCAGGAACAAGAAACCAAACACCCAACGAATCACTGCTTCCATATCCACCTCCAGATTATTCACTTCAAAAGGTCGGCAACGAGATTTTGATAGTATCGATTAAGGTTTGTTTAACAATCAAACCAACTTGTTTGATTTGTTCATGTTTACACTTCTTGGTTAGATTGAGTACATATTATACTTCTTCAATCAATGCTAACGTTCCTCATTGTTTAATAATTGGTTGTTCTTTTGACTGGTACCTCATTATTTCAATTAGTATATTCCAATTTTTTTGAGAAGCGGAGACATGTGAAGGTGGGAATTCACTGATTTGAGACTTGAGCGATTCAACACATTAGATATGGTTTCTTTTTCTTTTTCTTTTTTCTTAATTTTTTTTCTCGGTTAATAGTTACTGTTGTGGTTGGTGGGAATTTACTGATTTGAGTCCCCTTTCGAGAATCCTAAAATTGAGAGGTGCGGGTGTGTTTGACATGCAGAGAATCCTGAAATTGAGAGGTGCAGGTGTGTTTGACATACAGAGAATCCTGAAATTGAAAGGGGTTATTTAAGGGCTGGTTTTCATTTTTTCAGATTCAGCAACTGCGGGACAAGCTTGCTGTAGCTGAGAGAACTTAGAAATCTGAAGCCCACTTAAGAGTAAATCAGTGAATTAAGTGTACCTAACTGATTAGGATTTTTAACTTTAGTTCCATTTTATTGTAACAATTAAGCTTTCGCGTTCCCCTCCAGGAGACGTATCAATTGCTATGAAAAGTTCTTGAAGAGATTTTGAGATCACCGAATACGGGTAGTCACAGCATTCCAGATGTAAGATGTACTAAGGCTTAATGAGTAAAAAAACAACTATGACAGATTGGGAACTTCCTTTGGTAATTATGTGCTGCCATCAGTTATAGTATATAATGCCAAGCCTCCGAATCTGATAAACCATAGGGAACAACTGGAGTGTTGGAATAAGGTTTGAGTGAATGAAGTAGTAGTTATTTTTTTTGCTCTCTTTTCCTTGTTGCTATCTCTCATTCTTTCAATTCTTTAACCCCTTCCATGAATAGACTTCGTATCCGTCTTTTTTAATTGTGATAGTTTGTGTGAACCTTGAAGAAAATGGAAGTACGAAACAGAAGTTAACATTACTCTTGCCGGAATCAAGAAGAAATATATATTTTGGACATGTTAAATTGTACTAAAGCTGTTTGATATTGGTGGATGCTAATTGGTTATAAATCAGTTTCGAAGACTGAAATTTCTATTCTAAATTAGTACAACGAAACAAACTTATCTTCTTTAATTTTGTACAGTCGATCATAATGATCATGTTCATGTTCCATATTAATAGGGGAAAATCGGGTGAGTTTTTGAGAGAATGTGTTTATATTCCATTATAATTGTAACACTGTACTCTCCATAGATTATGTGGAAATTGAATTTTCTCTCTTTGTCGTCACTTAATTTTCCCTTTCTCAGGTATCAGTCAGACCTCACACAGTCTAATTGTTCTTAACAATGTTATAAATTCTGATGTGACACAAAATTATGATATAAACCTCTTCAAGAAGAATGTTCTTCCTTGTAGATAAAAATTAAACAATAATTTTGCATGCAGCAGTGGTCTCTACGGGCTTTTCTTCATCAGCTGAATATCCTTGTTCTGTTAGCTTCCTTCCTCTTCCTGTTGCTACTTTGTCATATGCCCAATGATCTCAAAGTAGCCCTGTTCCTGCTCATTTGCCAATTAAAACTGAGAACTCTAAATTGCTGAGGAAACTTCTTCCTTTTTGGAAAACTTCTATGGATCCAACTGCAAATTCTCGAATAATAATAAATTTGACTGGCCTATAAAGATGGCAAAAATCTCAATCTCTAAGGAAAAAAGCTCAACAATAGGAATCTTGAACACTAAAAAAAGAACCTCAATGAATTATTGTAAATTGGGCAAATATACTTACTTTTGTCCATTAGTATTATTTTTGCTCGAATATTTTTTTTTTTTGGGGGAAAATTATGTTTATCAGAACTTTATAATGCAAAGAGTTTTCTTCTCCTTCTCGATTTTTTTTTTTTTTTATTAAATGGAGGTTCTATGAAGAATTTACCCTTTCATGCTTGAACCGAACTTCTTCACTTTTGACCTTTTTTTTTTTTTTTTTTTTTTTTTTTTTTTTTTTGTTGCTTTTTTGGAACAATCATTATGTAATTTAGATGGTTCGTAGCTTAGAGTAAAAGGAAAGGAAAGATATAATTTTTCTTATGTTCTACATGTTATTGTGTATGTGAACTTTAATTTTCTATATAATCAAATTTCTCTAGTCGTTTTTCTTTGACCTTTTGCATTAACTCCTTGAAACGATTTCTGAAGTGGGTTTTATTCAAAAGATCTTTTCTTAATGTTTGATTTGTAAGTTAAACCTTCCTACAGATTATAAAGATGTCGTTTACAAGGAAAACTATCCTTAGAAGAACTCAGAAGAAGTGCACACCAAAGTGAGTTATTTTTCTCTTCCTTTTACCGATGCTTCCTTTTAGCCTATTTTATTCTGATATAAGTTTACTATGCCAGACATTTAAGAAGAAAATTTGGGCTTCTTGTAAGGCACAAGGGTTGTACGAAGCGCGCACACGCCTATCTCCAAAATTTGCAGACTATGCTTGTAAGTTTAATTTTGACACAATTAATCAGTTTACTCTCTTTTCTCTGTTTTTGATGTCCTTCCGTTGGTCAATTTAATATCTGAAAGGGCACTATTTGTACAGTTGATAAATCAGAGGGAGCATTGTGGGAAAGAGTGATAATTTGGTGGGGGTGAAATGGATTGTATTCTGAAAATTAAAGAGAACCTCATATGGGATTCATTATATCTAATGCAGAAATTTCTAAAGCTAAATGCCTACCTGGATGAGCTAAATGACAAGACTGATGTGATACTTGCCGAGATGCGAGAGATAAAAGCCGAACAAGAAGAGTTGAACGCTGAAGAGGAAGAGGTAATTGCCGAACTGGAAACCACGGAAAGCGAAATAAAAGAATTAGAAAAAACATTTGAAGATATGTTGCAGGTACCATTTCGACCATGTATTTGATAGTGGATGGATGAATTGAGGTTTCAACTTTTAGTTTTCATTCGTATTTTTATACTACAATTTTTTTGTCATTACAGAAACACATGGAAGAGGCAATTGCTAGGGACCTATGAATTTACCAGAGGATAGAGCCCTTATAGGAACTCAAGAAAATAGCAGCTCTTAGACGTTGAATAGACATCATGGTTGGAGCAAATCGATACACGCACACACACATACACACACACACATATATATATATATGAACATTACAATTGCTTATGCAAATTAACGATTGGAATTATAGGAGCAAGTAATAATTTAGAATGAAATATTATCTTGCGTGATTTCAACTGTTATTTTTATCTTTGTTATTTGTTTTTTCCAATGCTCTGAAGTGTTATTCCTCAACAATATTTATTAATTTATGGGAACTTAAGTTTCAATTTTCCGTCTGTCTATATATTTTTATGCATTATACGGTTAAACTTCTTCAAGAGAAACATACCAAACTAAAATTCAAATCCCTAAATATCTTGTGAAACTTGTACCTTATATGGAAACATCAATTGCAAATTCTCGAGGACTGCAGAAATCTTAGTCTCCAGAGTTATGCTACACTTACAAAGGGAATTGACAAAGTTGAATAACAAAATCATATTTACACCAATCATTTCAAAAAAAGATTTTTAAATTATTTGAAATCAATAGTTTGAATTTTGTCAACACACTTTGAAACTCAACTTTTGTAATTCAACTTTGTACAAGTAGCTTTATTGTTCCATGTTTTTGAGTGTTTGATTTGCCAAAATTTTCAAGTAATTGATTTTCTAGTTTAGCCCTCACATGACCAGCTTTTTCTTGGTTTTGAGGAATTCACTTTCTCCTGGGTCGGTGGAAATTGATTGATTTTCCATTCAACTTCTTTTTTTTTTTTTTTTTTTTTTTCAATTTTATTATTATTATTATTATTATTATTATTATTATTATTATTATTTATTATTATTATTATTATTATTATTATTATTTTTGCAATGGAAACAAATTCTAGGAATAATTATAAAAGAAGATATCCCTTAAATTAATAATTTTCATGTAAAACAAAGTCAAATTAAGATCAAAATATAGATGATTTTTGAATTTATTTATTTGTTTGTTTATTTTAAACAATGGAAACAAATTCTAGGAACAATTGTAGAAGTGGATATCCTTTAAATTGACAATTTTCATGAAAAACGAAACCAAACGAACACAAAAAAAAACACTTTTATTTCAACATTTTTCAAGTTAAAAATTATACCAATCAAATATTATTAATTGACGATTTTCGGTAAAACAACTTTTAGGCAATTCAATTCCCTGGAATTCGTTTTCTTTCCATCCGAATTTCATCTTTACAATTAAACGGACCCTAGGAGAAGAATCTCAACGAATTATTGCAAATTAGGTACATATACTTATCTGTATCCATTATTATTAATTTTGCCTAAATTTTCGATTTTCTAGGAGAAAATTATGTTTATCTGATACTCATAATGCAAAGAGTCTTCTTCTTCTTCTTCTTCTTATTATTATTATTATTATTATTATTATATATATATATATATATCACGGGTTAGAACCATGCTTTTTTGCTTTTATCCATTTTTTTTAAAACTATCATTATTCAATTTATATGATTTTTCTAATGGTTCGATTTGTTATTTTTGTGTGTGAATTTAATTTCTATCCGAGGAAACACCAACCTTATAAATATGGAAACTTCAATTGCAAATTCTTGAAGATAGAAGAACCTCAACAAATTATTGCAAATTAGGTAAATATACTTATTTGTATCCATTAGTATTAATTTTGCTAGAATTTTCGATTTTCTGGGGGAAAATTTTGTTTATCCGATCCTTCTTCTCCTTTATTTTTTTTGGAGGTTCTATAAAGAATTACTCAGGTTAGAGCCATGTTTTTCTTTTTTTTTTTCTTTTTTTTTTAACCAATTTTTTTGAAAAACTATCATTATTCAATTTAGATGATTTTTCTAATGGTTCAATATGTTATTTTTGTGTGTAAATTTAATTTCTAAGTGCATTGGTATTATTTTTATTTTTTATTTTTTGTTTTCCGATCAAGTGGATTTATCATGTCGTTTTTGCTTTACCTTTGCAGTAACTCCTTGTGTGTGATTTTTGATGTGGGTTTCCTTCAAAACATATTTTCTTTTCAATACTTCCTTAATTTGATTCTTTTCAAAAAATAATGATGTGATATAAAATTTTGAAACGGTGGTTTGACTTCATCAATTGGATTGAAAGGAATTGGAAATATTTCACTTTCCTCAACTCTCTTTTCCATCACAATTATCCCTACATGTTTAGATTCAGTTTAGCAAGTATTGTCTCCTAAGTTTCCTTGGAATATTCAAATTGCGATTTTGTGTTAGGGTATATTTATATATAACAATGACAGTTTATTGTTTGTGTTCTTCTTTCGTTCCCATTTTGTTGTGTAGTGAAAGAATAGTGATTAATCTAAAATTTGTTCAATATTGTCGTGTTCGTTGAGATATCCATTTCAATATATCCTTTTGATGTTGTCTTGTAAAATTTTAGAATGTTGTTGAGCTAGGGCAACTATCGAACGTTGACTGTCGATCATGAACGGTCGCAATAACAAGATCGTTTATTAATGTTTAATTACATAATACTATAATATTTTTGATCAATATATAAATACACTAAATCGCAAAAATCATATACATATGAAAATATAATTTAATACAGTCCAAAATAATAATAAAAAAATTATATGATACGACCTCACTTCGAAATTGTAAGTTCAGTCAATTTAAGTAGAGCTTGTTGTAAGGCTAAAGCCCCCATACTAGTAGAGGCATAACGCAAAATCGGAAAGCAGTCCCAAATGGTTGGTTGAGATACGAGATTCAATTAGTTTCATCGGGTGCTTGTCCCAAATAATGTATTGAACCATATAATTGGATTCTTCGAATTTTCATATTTTGACACATCATGAACACGGAATAAGTAATTCAGTACTTCCTACTTATTCAACTCGAGTGTCTTATACGATATGCATCTTATTTTAACAAGCTTGCTTAATCGTTATTGAAGATTTATACAAGGCCCTTGATGAAGTAACATTTAGCCCCTGTCTTGTTTGGATATAAATTAAATTTGTAGTAGATTTTAATATAAAATGGTGAAATATGATGTTAATGAAAATTATGAATCCCATAAAATGTGTTGAAAATAAATTTTAAAAAATGAGTTTTAAGAAATGTAACACACAAGACTTGGTCACTTTTTGACTCTTCTTTTATTTTAAAACTCTTTATTTATCATACTCATTTTTAACCATATATTCATACAATAAATTTTTGTATACGTTAATTCAAAGTTTTTCGTTACATTTTAGTCACACATTCGCCAAAAATATCATTTTTTTTGCAATTTTCTTTGTAATGGTCATCAATCATGGACTTAATTGGAAGTCCAAACTTTCATTTACATTAATTAGATAAATTTATATATTCTTAAGCATTTCAGAATTTATTTAAAATTATAATTGAAATTGAGAAATGTTCAAATTGGGAGAGTTTTCACAATGGCCACGTCAAATGATCCATTCATCACAGGAGCCAAACTTACTCTTTATTCTCTACAACGGCCTTTTCAAATGCAAAAATATTAAAATTCCCTCAATAAGGTTATAAACTACAAAAATATCGTGATATTGAAAAGATAATAAGAACCTTTTAAATACAAAACAATACGAACACTTACCCCTCAAAATTTCAAAAATCAAGTCGTTTTCTTTATCCCTTTTTTCCAATACAAATAACGATTCTTTCATTTTTCTTCTACTTCAATCTTAAAATCTCATAAATTTATCAAACGATCAACAAAAAAAAATTCATTCTTATCCAACACTTCGAATCGGTAAGTATATTTAATTTTGTTCAAAAGAAAAAAAAAACTAGTATATTTTTGAATCGTTAAATTTTATTTCAATATGTGCTAATTCGTAGGTAATTTTTTTACATATCACTTAACAGATCTATAATTTTTTAAGTGAAAAATGAAAGAAAAAAAATTCATCTACATAATCAAATCTAGTATTTTAAGAATCCAGATGGCTAGGTCGTCCCATAATGTCCAGAATGGGTCTTTTTATTTTTTTAAAAATTTTTAGTACCCCTATTTATTTATTCTTTATGGTTAATCTTTTTTTTTTTTTAATAATTTGATTCATAACGCACTTATGGGATTAACATGTCTCTTGAGTTATTGTTACGGTGAATTTCAAGGAATGCAAATGGTCGATGGGAATGTAAATAATGAGTGAAGACGATGATGTTACTGGAATTGTGATAATATAAAGTATATCGTACGCAAAAATGTACCATGATATACAAAATGTGCTCAAAGTCGATTCCTCTTAGTATGGTTTAAAATTGAGATTTTTATTTTATAAGCATTCAACCATTTTGATTCCACTAGTAAAGGTTCCTTCTAAAGTGCAAATGAAATTGCTAATTGAACTAAACCAAGGCTGCAAGCCGATTCCTATTTGTGTAACTTTAATGAAAGAGAATGTCTTCGAGAATGAACACGAAGATATTGATAGAGGGGATCATAATGTAAATTATTTTTGGAATACAGTGGAGATAGCGTGTGAGATAACCCAGACCCTTTTGTTTGTTTTTATATCAACTATATAAAGTTGAAATTACATCCCCATATTTTCATTTTCACCATTTTTGATATAATATCTTCCTGGTGGATCCTTCGTGTTCCTATTGCATACAATTGAATCTATTTAATCTTCAGTCGTCATTTTTTTTTTCCTTTTCATAAACTATTAGAAAGTTAAAATTAAATATATTTATAGTTAAATAAACAGTATTTACATATATATATATATTACTACGATTATATGTATACAAATTGTACGCTAGCTTCATCCTCCTATTGTCAATGTGCATTTGTTTTATCAATTTTACACCACTTCTGATGCTCAAAATCCAAGATACTTGATTGCAAAAATTTCATAGTAACCCCTGTACATAAATAATAATATGTTAGTCCAATGACAACTAAAACAAATTTAGCATAAAAAAACTTAAGGTTTTGTTTGTCTTGCAGTCATCATCTTCCTCACTATGGCTACTCTATTATACCATGACGTTCGCTACTCTAGCCATCATGGGAACGATGGCAGCCATAGACTAGAGTATATACTCGACCTAGTCCTGTGTGGTACAGTTATGATTAGATTTGTATACGTACATCTTCAACTCAGTGAAAACGATCTCAACTGCAAAGCAGTGTGAGTTCGTGATCACTTAAATGTATAGATATGTACAAATTGTTCATG